AAGAGCTGATGACATGGATTAAACTCACAGCAATAAGAGAAACTCTGAGGCCCACAGAGGAACCAGATGATCTGGTTAAAATAATAAACAGAGCGAACATGAACGCATCTCGGCTGATAATCCAACCTCCAGGTACCTCAGCGTAACCCATGGCAACAATAAATAAATATGAACAACCCACTGTCAATGTTTGCTCTGGTTCTGGTTCTGGTGGAGTCCGGTGCGGAGACGCTAGTAGCTCTCCAGCGAATCGTCCCAGAATAAGCTCTGAACGTCCAGCATGGCGGCCAGCTCCAGCACCTGCTTCTGCAGCAGCACGCTCTCCACCGTGTCCGGCTTCGGCAGCTCCGGGTACGACTCCGGGAAGCTCCGGGATTCCTGCCAACAGAGGGCAGCGGTGAGCCCGACCGGAACCGACCGGAACCAGTGAGCAGGTCAGCTCATTGAAACAGCTGCTCTACTGCAGCGCCGCCTTTTAAACACTGAGTTCTGCAGCACGTCCTCAGGCTCAGGTTGTCAAAGTCAAGCTAGCATAGCTGACCTACTTCCTGCTCCCTCCTTATTTGCTTCAATTAAAACCTTTTCCTGACCTATTTGGTGTCTTAATGTTGACTATTAGTAGCAAAGCCCTGCGTTCACCTGTCATAAATCACATTTAGCTCATGTTGACAACCTGACAGCTAACGTCAATGCTAGTCATTGTCAGCGACATTTACAACTGAATCGGAGCATTTCACATCGATTCAGAATTCCCAGGTCAAGGAATTTGATTTTTCAGCACTTTTCTGTCTCCATAGAGAAGCATCGACTCACCCGGAACAGCTTATGTAGCCTCAGCGTCGCCGAGCAGAACACGAACCGGATCAGGAGCAGCCGCAGGAACTCGTCCCCGAAGAACTGCAGGAAGGCCTGATCTGCAGAGAGGAGGAGCGTGAGTTCCCCTCCGGTCGGATCGGACCCGATCGGACCCGATCGGACCTACCGATGCTCCGGGATCGGGTCAGCATCTGGCCGATGTCCCGGAACACCTTCCGAAGGAAGTCCTGCGCGCGCTCCCACAGGCCGCGCCGCACGCTGCTCAGGCCGCAGACGGAGGAGAAGCCCAGCAGAGGAGAGTAGAGGAAGAGCGTGAAGAGGCTGCCGCGCTGAGACTGATCTGGACCGGAACCAGAACCAGAGGGAGAACCGTGAGCACAGGGCCTGCAGAAGCCGGCAGCAGACCGAAGCAGAAACCCACCCTGGACGCTCTTTGGGTAAACGGTCGGGGAGAGCAGGCACACAAGCGGCTGGCCGAACAGGTTGGAGAAGTTCTGATGGGATCGAACACAGGAGGATTAAAACGGGCCCAGAAAGAACCAGAACCCGACCGGGACCAGCAGGTCCACCCCTTATAGGCGGTGCTGTTTGAGGAATCCACGATGATGAAGAGCGGCTTCCGGGTGAAAGGAAACAGATCTCCAGGATGAAGGCTGCGGCGGAAACAAGCATCAGAACCTGGTTCTGACCGGGAACCGGTCCAGTCTCCGTCACACTCACCAGTGCATCTCTTTCTGGGCCTGGTTCCTCTTCTGGACCGTCTCCCCGTTCACCACGTCCCTGTTGGTGTTGGTCAGAACGCCGCCGAAGTCATACGGACCTGCTGAGGTAAACGGACCCAACAGAACCAGATTTAATCCGGATCGCACCGAATTACCAGAACTCCAGATTAAGTCCAGGTTTAATCTGGAGTTTAAGTTCCTTCCATCCTGATGATCAGCTGGGAAACGGAATCTGTTTTTCTGTTCGGCTGCAGAAGATCTTAAAGGTATACACACCTTATACGGAGCTAAATTGGGGCCAAACAGTTTGCTAAAAAAAATTAATAAAAAAACAACAACCTGAAACTGAAAATTTCAGTTTATGGCAGTGATGGGCATAGAAGAAGCAACTTCTAGTCCGCTAACATCCGCTAACGTCGATGTTAGCGGATATTAGCGGACATTAGTCGATGTTAGTGGATTGTTAGCAGACGTTAGCAGATATTAGCGGACGTTAGCGGACATTAGCGGATGTTAGTGGATTGTTAGCAGACGTTAGGAGACATTAGCGGATGTTAGCTGATATTAGCGGACGTTAGCGGATATTAGCGGATGTTAGTGGATGTTAGTGGATTGTTAGCAGACGTTAGCAGATATTAGCGGACGTTAGCGGACATTAGCGGATGTTAGTGGATTGTTAGCAGACGTTAGGAGACATTAGCGGATGTTAGCTGATATTAGCGGACGTTAGCGGATATTAGCGGATGTTAGTGGATTGTTAGCAGATGTTAGGAGACATTAGGATGTGTTGATATTAGCGGATGTTAGTGGATTGTTAGCAGATATTAGCAGACGTTAGCAGAGGTTAGCGAATGACGCTCGAGCGTCACATTTCTGGGCGAACCAGAAACACAATACAAAGTTTGTAGACAGACAAAAATACAAAACTTTAACTATTTACATTAAAATTTGAATTGCATTAAAACCCATATCATTAATTATTTAAATTCACACATTACAGACACACCATAACTAAAATATGACCAACATCAGAAAAACACGAAACATGAGCCACCAGGTTTGTTTTACCTCAAAACTTGTCATTTGCACCAAGGACACATTCAAAATGGTTCTGACCCAGAAAAAGACCAAAAACTATTATTTATGGAGTTCAGATGAAATGTTTTCTAAATCTTAATCTGTGTTATAATGAATCTGTTCACTGCAGATTAATCTTAAGTGTAATTAACTGCTGGCTCAACTTTAGATATTATGTCTTGGTTTAAGAACGATTGTGTTGCACAACATTTAAGGCCATAATTTAGCTCCATACATAATCAATACATATAAGGTTTGATTATGAAAAGTCACATCTCAACACCTGCCCTGTAATTTGAACCTGTAAAATTCACCTGAGGGCAAACTAATCTGTAAGGAAACACCCTGATGCAGCATTAATCCCATCTGATAATCCCATCTGATAATCTCATCTGATAATCTCATCCGATTCGTCTTCAGCCTCCTGACCTGCAGACGTCCTCACAGACGTCCAGGTTTGAGGACAAGTCTTCCCTTCCTCCCTGTTCTGTATTTACGCTCCGACTTCCACACTGAAGATTGGTTTGTTTCCATCTGAATAATCCAGGATTATTGATCAGTTTATGATTAGTTTAACCTGTGGATGGTTTTTGTATCCACTGTGAATAAATAATATTTCATGTTTTAAGTGTTCAGGTTGTGGAAGGAGTGAGGAGGAAACAATGTGCTGCAGGTTTTACCTTCGTAGTCTAGATGTGTTGCTGGGAAAACGCCAGTAGCTGATAAATACACCAGCAGGACGCTGTTGGCAGGAAGCTCCTGCAAAGCACACAACAGAAACACTGGAGATGATCTGAAGCAGGGAGAAGAGGCAGGAAACCTGACCTCATCTGACTCAGAACATGAAGCTGCTCAGGTTGGTCAAGGTTTCCAGGCTGACCTTGAAGGAAGCCGACAGGAATGTGTAGAGCTGGCTGAAGGTCGGCTTGTACAGCAGGTACTTATGGGGGTTTTCTCTCTTGGCTGGTTTCTCACTGGGCTCCTGGAGGAAAACATCACCATCGTTATCATCATTAGTATTATCATTATCATCATTAATATTATCATTATTATTGTTATCATCATTATTATCATCATTAGTATTATCATTATTATCATCATCGTTATCATCATTAGTATTATCATTATTACCATCATTAGTATTATCATTATCATCATCATTATCATCATTAATATTATCATTATTATTGTTATCATCATTATCATCATTAGTATTATCATTATTATCATCATCGTTGTCATCATTAGTATTATCATTATTATTGTTATCAATATTATCATCATTAGTATTATCATTATTATCATCATCGTTATCATCATTAGTATTATCATTATTATTATCATCGTTATCATCATTAGTATTATCATTATTATCATCGTCGTTATCATCATTAGTATTATCATTGTTATCACCATCATTATCATCATAAGTATTATCATTATTATTGTTATCACCATCATTATCATCATAAGTATTATCATTATTATTGTTATCATCATTAGTATTATTATTGTTATCATCATCATCATCATTAGTATTATCATTATTATCATCATCATTATCATCATTAGTATTATCATTATTATCATCATCGTTATCATCATTAGTATTATCATTGTTATCACCATCATTATCATCATAAGCATCATAAGTATTATCATTATTATTGTTATCACCATCATTATCATCATAAGTATTATCATTATTATTGTTATCATCATTATCATCATTAGTATTATCATTATTATCATTAGTATTATCATTATTATCATCATCGTTATCATCATTAGTATTATCATTATCACCATCATTATCATCATAAGTATTATCATTATTATTGTTATCATCATTATCATCATTAGTATTATCATTATTATCATCATCATTATCATCATTAGTATTATCATTAGTATTATCATTATTATCATCATCGTTACCATCATTAGTATTATCATTATTATCATCATCATCATTAGTATTATCATTATTATCATCATCGTTATCATCATTAGTATTATCATTGTTATCACCATCATTATCATCATAAGTATTATCATTATTATTGTTATCATCATTATCATCATAAGTATTATCATTATTATTGTTATCATCATCATTATCATCATTAGTATTATCATTATTATCATCATTAGTATTATCATTATTATCACCATCATTATCATCATAAGTATTATCATTATTATTGTTATCAACATCATTATCATCATAAGTATTATCATTATTATTGTTATCATCATCATTATCATCATTAGTATTATCATTATTATCATCATAAGTATTATCATTATTATTGTTATCACCATCATTATCATCATAAGTATTATCATTATTATTGTTATCATCATCATTATCATCATTAGTATTATCATTATTATTATCATCATGGTTCAGGTGGAATTCCAGAACCGTCCTACATGGAACCCAGGAGCTTTGATTCAGAACTGATCATCTCTGATCTCCTTCTGTGAACTGATTGGTTTTTATCTGGATTTGAATTATTGATCTTCACAATATCAGAAAATCTGATGATGGCAATAATCCTGGTAAACCTTGTACCAGGATTATCGATCAGAAATATTCTGTTAGTTCCTCTCCAGAGAACAAACTCCGTGTGGAGTTCCTCAGGGCTCGGTTCTCACTAATCTAATTATGACACATTGACCAGCTGATGTCATGAAGGCAACATGACATCAGCTGGATGATGATGTCATAAAGACCAACCAGTTCAGTGAAGCCTTGATGTTGCCATGGAAACACTTCAGTTTGCAATCAGATTCATCAATATTTCAATGTGAAAGAAGAACCAATCAGGCGGCTGCAGCTTTTCACCGACTAAAACCAGGAAGCAGTTCACCTCAGAGCCTGCTTTAGGTCAGGTTCACCTGTAAAGGTCAAAGGTCATCCATTCCCACCTTTTGAGTTAGAATCGATGAACATTTTGTTTCTTCGCTGAACCTGTTTGAAACGCGTTGAGCCAGAAACCCACCAGCGTTGCCTGTTTGGCCGTCTGCGTTGCCAGGTTGACGGGTTCCCTCTCCAGAGCCTGCAGCATCCGGAACATGTCGACGGTCAACTCACTGAACTTCACCTGCAGGAAGCAGCAGCATTAGCAGCACAGACTGGATCCTTTTAACTCTCTGAACATGAGGGATCTTTGCTCCGTCATGTGGAGTTTAATGGATCACTTCTGATCATTTCTGATCACTTCTGATCACTTCTGATCATTTCTGATCACTTCTAATCATTTCTGATCACTTCTGATCACTTATGATCACTTCTGATCATTTCTGATCACTTCTGATCATTTCTGATCAATCTTCATGTTCAAATTGTGGAGGAAACTGTTTGTTTTTCTGATGAAAACCAAACTTGTTTCCAGTTTTGTTCCCGTCGTCGTGTGAAACGACTCAGATCCCAGCAGCTAACCAGCTGCCAAAGGAACCGAGTCCCATGTGGGTCTGGGCCCAGAGGTCAGCGGGTCAGAACCTGGTTGTTGCAGTTGCCAACGATCAGGGCGTCGGCGAGGACCAGCTGGCCGACCACCATGCCCTGCTCCAGCGGGGGAACGCTGCCGTCCTGCAGCCGGTTGCTGGTCACCAACACCGAGTTGTTGTCGTTCAGAACCACGGCCGGGTCGGCCTGTTCACACAAACAGAACACGGGGTAAACCCGACCGAGCCTGCCACGGTCAGAGGTCACCTGGGGTCAGAGGTTACCTCGATGAAAGCTGCCACTTCCTGCAGAACCAGGTTCCACTCCAGCTGGTCCTCCGTGTTGAAGCGCTGGGTGTAGTCTTCGATCTCCTCCGATAACTCCTGCAGACGGACCAAAGTTAGAAAACCTCGGACCGGAACCACAGAGCGGTCGCACCCTGACAGCATCCGGACCTTCACCAGAACTTTAACTAGGTCCATCTTGTTGAGCAGTAACAGACGACGATGTAGCGAGCGTAGTAGCGGAGCTTCTTCACCACCAGTTCAGGCCTGTTAAAGACGACAGACCATCAGAGCGACAGCAGACGGCGCCGCGGACCGGACCGGGCTGGGCCGGGCTGCACCGGGCCTGACCTGTCCTCCTTGTTGACCTGGTAGTAGTAGGAGCGCTGGCGGATGGCCGAGTAGAAGGAGAAGGCTTCGTTCAGGTAGCTGGTCTCTGAGGTCCGGAGGCTGCAGGACAAACATCAACACTTTCCATCTGCATCTGAGCCGCTAATGCACTAACAGCTAGGCTAATTCTCCATTTAGCGCCTTGCTAACTTTGAAGTCATTTAGCACACTTAGCTTCCCCTAGTTTAATTTAACCTGCTGATGTACTTGAACATGAAATGCTGTAGAAATTAAATGTGGAATGAGGGTTGGAGTTGTTCCAGGGCAGCTAAAGTTAACGTTTTAGCATTAGCTTCCTCTAAATGCTGTGTTGATGTACTGCTTTCGCGTTAGCGTAGCTAGCTTTGTAGCTAGCAGTGCTCTGCTGGTTTCTGACCAGTTAGTTTTTATGTTAATCTGCATCTTTAATCGTTTAGCTCTTGAAGCAGAAAATGTATTTTACTGTAAAACACAACACTGGGTTCATAAACACGTCCAGTTTACTTCTACTGGTTACACTGGAGCAACTGGAAGTACAGGGGTCAGACCACGGAGCCCTGAGGAACTCCTGGATTCTCCCGACCCGTTTCCGACCGAATCGAGGCGTTTGCAGACTCACTAGTAGTGGTAGTAGAGCTGCCCGATCTTGGAGGCGACCTCTCCGATCTGCCATCTCTTCAAGCCGTACCTCGTATCCAGAACCTGCCTGTCGACAGAAACAAACCCGTCATCTGAGGGAGAGGCTGCATGGGTTCCCTGAACCTCAGCAGGTGAGGCGGGACTCACCTGTGCTGCTGCTGGAACTTCCACAGCTTGGTGTAGACGTCGAAGGTCCGGCCGAAGTACGACTGCCCACTGCTTGTGTCCGTACTGAGGAAGGTCTCTGCAGCCGGGAGGAAGAGGAGGAGCGACAACGTGAAACCACATGAGGCAGTGTGGGGAACGCAGGAGGGAACAGTGTGGGGAACGATGCTGTAGGGAACAGTGTGGGGAACGATGCTGTAGGGAACAGTGTGGGGAACAATGCTGTAGGGAACAGTGTGGGGAACGATGCTGTAGGGAACAGTGTGGGGAACGATGCTGTAGGGAACAGTGTGGGGAACGATGCTGTAGGGAACAGTGTGGGGAACGATGCTGTAGGGAACAGTGTGGGGAACGATGCTGTAGGGAACAGTGTGGGGAACGATCAGGGCGTCGGTGAGGACGCCCTGATGCTGTAGGGAATGATTTAGGGAACGCTGTAGGGAATGCTGCAGCGTCCTCAGGCGGTTCTTTTGGATCTCTGTTCCCTCTCTGCCTGAAGGAACTTGGAGGAGACGACGTCAAGCTGCCGGGATTTGGATCGGAGCGTCGCAGCGTCTCTCCACTCCGGAGGAATCCTACTCCACTTTCCACTGCAGCTCATCAACGTTTTTGCTCAGCTCCCTGGAGGCTGAGATCTGGACTTTAACTAGGCCACTGATTCCCAAGTTGTGGGTTGGCGGTTCCGTTGGTGACCCAGTTTGACCCAAAGCCCAGAGGGACTCCAGTGTCTCTTCTTTCAATGTCCTGACCTTGACCTGCTAATCCTCATTAACAGTTCACCTTCAGTAATAAAACCAGATTTTAGAGTTTTTACTTCCCAGGTGAATAAAAACTAATTATGAATCTGGTTTATAGCTCAGATTTTCATGTATTTCTTGTCTTTGTGATGGGAATAATTAATAATCCTGCTGATAAAAACCTTCATATGAACCAACGCTGACTTATTTGATCACATTATTGTTTTATTAAAATGACTAAACTAAAACATCGTCTTTTCAAACCAACTGTGTAAAACTGAATGTTGCTTGGATTATTGGTTTTTTATTATTATGTTTTCACTTTTTATTGTCACTTCAAGGTGAAGCAGCTCCCTGTGGTTCTGAGTGAATGGGTCGGCTTGGCGCCCCGCTGCTGTGTCAGATCCTGGGAAGAAGGACGCCCCGCCCCGCCTCACCCGGCCCGCCTCGCCCCGCCCCGCCCCGCCTCGCCTCGTCCCGCCCCGCCTCGCCTCGTCCCGCCCCGCCTCGCCCCGCCCGCCTCGCCTTGTCCCGCCTCGCCCCGCCCCGCCCCGCCTCGCCCCGCCTCACCTCGCCCGCCCCGCCCCGCCCCGCCTCGCCCCGCCCCGCCCCGCCTCGCCCCGCCCCGCCCCGCCTGGCCCGGCCCTCCCCGCGTTTCCGTGAGATCAGCTGTGATTTCGGCGCACAGCCTGCTGGCTAATCCCTAATTTCTTCTCACACTAGAATCAGAAGCTTCTCATTCAGGAGTTTCACTGGGATGATTAAATCAAACCTCCCTGATGTGATGAAGACACGATTGGCTCCTCCAGGCTTCCTGGAGGAGCCAATCAGGAGCCGGGATGCTGGACGTACCTGAGCCCATTGAACAGCTGCTTGGATTTATCCAGCAGGTAGCAGAAGTCGGTGACGGTTTTCCGCTCTCCTAGAGGAATATCATCCTCAGTCTCAGCTCCAGTCATGACGTTTCACACCTGAGAACCAACAGGAAGCAGAAATATTATAAACAGGAATGAATGGAAACAAGATGGATCAAAATCAAGAGTCAATATCTGATGTTAATTCACCTCAATGATGTTTTACATCCTGACTTTATTTCACAAAAATGTAATGTATTATTAACTAGAGGGTAATTTATCCTGAATATTAAATAAAGGAGCATTGAAGAATATCATCTGCTAAAACCTTTCAATATCACTTTATTGATCCCAAAATGAAAACTTTGTCCAAGCAACACAAAAAGTTTCTAACCAGATAGAAACTCCATGATTCAATCAGCAGAAGCAGGTCAGACGTTAACCTGCCGCCGGCTCTCCAGGTGTCCTAGTTAAATCACGTGGCGACCGTTTTTAGGCCGACCCAGATTCCCTCCAATCAAGCCAGACGGGCGGCGGCCATGATGAGCTCCTGTTGCCGTGGCGACTGACTGGACCAGAACTTTAAAACGGTTCTGATGTCGGTCCAAAGACACTGGATCAGCAGAACCGGAACCAGAACCAGAACCAGCAGTCATTAACAGATCCATCTGGAACTGATTCAGTTGTGGGGACGCTCTGGTCCCAGTTGGGGGGACGCTCTGGTCCCAGTTGGGGGGACGCTCTGGTCTCAGTTGGGGGAACGCTCTGGTCCCAGTTGGGGGGGACGCTCTGGTCTCAGTTGGGGGAACGCTCTGGTCCCAGTTGGAGGGGACGCTCTGGTCTCAGTTGTGGGGACGCTCTGGTCCCAGTTGGGGGGACGCTCTGGTCTCAGTTGGGGGAACGCTCTGGTCCCAGTTGGGGGGGACGCTCTGGTCTCAGTTGGGGGAACGCTCTGGTCCCAGTTGGAGGGGACGCTCTGGTCTCAGTTGTGGGGACGCTTTGGTCCCAGTTGGGGGGGACGCTCTGGTCTCAGTTGGGGGAACGCTCTGGTCCCAGTTGGAGGGGACGCTCTGGTCCCAGTTGGGGAAACGCTCTGGTCCCAGTTGGGGGAACGCTCTGGTCCCAGTTGGGGAAACGCTCTGGTCCCAGTTGGAGGGGATGCTCTGGTCCCAGTTGGGGGAACGCTCTGGTCCCAGTTGGGGAAACGCTCTGGTCCCAGTTGGGGGGACGCTCTGGTCCCAGTTGGGGAAACGCTCTGGTCCCAGTTGGGGGGGACGCTCTGGTCCCAGTTGGGGGGGACGCTCTGGTCCCAGTTGGGGGGACGCTCTGGTCCCAGTTGGAGGGGACGCTCTGGTCCCAGTTGTGGGGACGCTCTGGTCCCAGTTGGGGGGAACGCTCTGGTCCCAGTTGGGGGGACGTTCTGGTCCCAGTTGGAGGGGACGCTCTGGTCCCAGTTGGGGGGACGCTCTGGTCCCAGTTGGAGGGGACGCTCTGGTCCCAGTTGGGGGAACGCTCTGGTCCCAGTTGGGGGGACGCTCTGGTCCCAGTTGGGGAAACGCTCTGGTCCCAGTTGGGGGGGACGCTCTGGTCCCAGTTGGGGGGGACGCTCTGGTCCCAGTTGGGGGGGACACTCTGGTCCAAGTTGGGGAAACGCTCTGGTCCCAGTTGGGGAAACGCTCTGGTCCCAGTTGGGGGGGACGCTCTGGTCCCAGTTGGGGGGGACGCTCTGGTCCCAGTTGGGGAGACGCTCTGGTCCCAGTTGGGGAAACGCTCTGGTCCCAGTTGGGGAAACGCTCTGGTCCCAGTTGGGGGGGACGCTCTGGTCCCAGTTTGGGGGGATGCTCTGGTCCCAGTTGGGGGGACGCTCTGGTCCCAGTTGGAGGGGACGCTCTGGTCCCAGTTGGGGGGACGCTCTGGTCCCAGTTGGGGGGGACGCTCTGGTCCCAGTTGGAGGGGACGCTCTGGTCCCAGTTGGGGGCGACGCTCTGGTCCCAGTTGGAGGGGACGCTCTGGTCCCAGTTGGGGGGACGCTCTGGTCCCAGTTGGAGGGGACGCTCTGGTCCCAGTTGGGGAAACGCTCTGGTCCCAGTTGGGGGGGACGCTCTGGTCCCAGTTGGGGGGGACGCTCTGGTCCCAGTTGGGGGGGACACTCTGGTCCAAGTTGGGGAAACGCTCTGGTCCCAGTTGGGGAAACGCTCTGGTCCCAGTTGGGGGGGACGCTCTGGTCCCAGTTGGGGGGGACGCTCTGGTCCCAGTTGGGGACGCTCTGGTCCCAGTTGGGGAAACGCTCTGGTCCCAGTTGGGGAAACGCTCTGGTCCCAGTTGGGGGGACGCTCTGGTCCCAGTTTGGGGGGATGCTCTGGTCCCAGTTGGGGGGGACGCTCTGGTCCCAGTTGGAGGGGACGCTCTGGTCCCAGTTGGGGGGACGCTCTGGTCCCAGTTGGGGGGGCGCTCTGGTCCCAGTTGGAGGGGACGCTCTGGTCCCAGTTGGGGGCGACGCTCTGGTCCCAGTTGGAGGGGACGCTCTGGTCCCAGTTGGGGGGGACGCTCTGGTCCCAGTTGGGGGGGACGCTCTGGTCCCAGTTGGGGGGGACGCTCTGGTCCCAGTTGGGGAAACGCTCTGGTCCCAGTTGGGGGGGACGCTCTGGTCCCAGTTGAGGGGACGCTCTGGTCCCAGTTGGGGGGACTCTGTGGTCCCAGTTGGGGAAACGCTCTGGTCCCAGTTGGAGGGGACGCTCTGGTCCCAGTTGGGGGAAACGCTCTGGTCCCAGTTGGGGAAACGCTCTGGTCCCAGTTGGAGGGGACGCTCTGGTCCCAGTTGGAGGGGACGCTCTGGTCCCAGTTGGGGGGGACGCTCTGGTCCCAGTTGGGGAAACGCTCTGGTCCCAGTTGGGGGGGACGCTCTGGTCCCAGTTGAGGGGACGCTCTGGTCCCAGTTGGGGGGACTCTGTGGTCCCAGTTGGGGAAACGCTCTGGTCCCAGTTGGAGGGGACGCTCTGGTCCCAGTTGGGGGAAACGCTCTGGTCCCAGTTGGGGAAACGCTCTGGTCCCAGTTGGGGAAACGCTCTGGTCCCAGTTGGAGGGGACGCTCTGGTCCCAGTTGGGGGGGACGCTCTGGTCCCAATTGGGGGGATGCTCTGGTCCCAGTTGGGGGGGACGCTCTGGTCCCAGTTGGAGGGGACGCTCTGGTCCCAGTTGGGGGGGATGCTCTGGTCCCAGTTGGGGGGACGCTCTGGTCCCAGTTGGGGGAACGCTCTGGTCCCAGTTGGGGGGGACGCTCTGGTCCCAGTTGGGGAAACGCTCTGGTCCCAGTTGGGGGGGACGCTCTGGTCCCAGTTGGGGGGGACGCTCTGGTCCCAGTTGGAGGGGACGCTCTGGTCCCAGTTGGGGGGATGCTCTGGTCCCAGTTGGGGGGACGCTCTGGTCCCAGTTGGGGAAACGCTCTGGTCCCAGTTGGGGGGGACGCTCTGGTCCCAGTTGGGGGGACGCTCTGGTCCCAGTGGGACGAGTGTCACGAATAATTTATGAACTTTATTTGTTATATTTATCATTTTATTCCAAAAGCTTAATAATCTTCAATTCTTGTGTTTAGTTTCTGATCGTGTTTGACAATAAATCTAAAGTAAATTATTTTAATAATTTTATTCCAGTTTGTACTATATTGGAAAACTATTAAATATTTAATATAATAAAGAACCAAACTAGACCTGACTTTACGCTCTGGTCTAGAAAATAAAACCTAAGATATTTTGGGAAAAAATTTTAAAAATCTGATTATAATCGATTTTTGACAGAAATTTTTCTCCAGTTTTTATTTTAATCAAGTCCAAATAAATACAAGCTGGGAAACAAGATGGCGGCTGCCAGCAACCAGCGAAACCAAGGAGTTCACTGCTGGAAACAATCCAGATTTTTCAAAAATGTCATCTTTAGAAACAGAGAATTTGATGAATCTGAATATTGGATTAACCCCCAAGCTTTGCTTCTGACAACCCAACGAGACCAGAACATCAGGCTCTGGAGGGGAACCACCGGGCCTCCAGTTCTCCCAGTCCACTGGTGCTGTCCCAGTCCTCCCAGCAGCCCTAACCCTCAACATGTCAGGATGAATCTCATCCAGCCCGGTGCCACTGGGAGGACGAGACCTGACCTTGAACTGACCTTTCAACCCACACCCCCTTTTCTCTATCTTCTCTTCACTGTCCAACATCCTGGGACAAAATGTTCCTCCCATCATGAATAACTGTTTCCATATTTTACAGTGAGTCGTAACTGATACTGAATACTAACCATGTAGCATAGCTATGCTAATGCTAGCAAAGCCAGACTTCTGAAGATGCACTGCGACACAGACAGCTACAGGAGCGACAACCAACTACAGATCCCTGCAGGTCAATAAACTCAGAATGAATTCAACTGGATAGAAGAAACAAATCCTGACGTCTAAATGAATCTACAGGAAACAGATCATTAAAATACAGAATCATATTCAGAAAACCTCTCAGCAAATTACAAAACCCAGAAAAGGAGCATTTTCATCTTTTCTGCATGAGAACCAGCCTGAACTCAACTTCCTGAGGAAAAACCGGTGAAACTCTATACGTCACCGTGACGTCACTATCTGACAGTCCGATCACTAATCAATCAGAATCAACAGATGCTGTTAATGTGGCGTTTGGTCATGAAGTGATGCTGCGAGGCATTAAGGGAACTAAGCAAAGATATGAAGTATCGGCAATAATCATCAGCCATAACAGTATTAATATCGATATCAGTATCGGCCCAACATGGTTCGTCCCAACCGATTATTGATTATCTAACAGTTTATATTCTAAGGTTAAATTCTGATTTGGTTTCCTTCCTGAATTAAATGCAAAACAAAACAATTACTTCAAAATATTTAGCTCGTTTTTGCACGAAGGTGAAAAATTTGACAAAAACGGTGAGATTTGTCTTTATTTTAAGGTAAAGGTCACCATCACAAGCTTTGAAGTGATTCCCTCATTGAGTGAAGCTGAAGGGAACCAGAGGTTCAAACTGTTCCCGTCAGGATGCGGGTCGTTCCGGACGGGAACCTGAGCTTCAAACCGAACCGGGTCCGAACCGGGTCCGAACCTCTGGAGCCGCTCGGCCCGGTTCCCTCTCACCTCTGCAGCCGAAGATGAGGATGAGGATGAGGATGGCGGTGAAGAGCCGCGGAGACGCGCCTGGTCTCGGTTCGGTCCAGAAAAGCCCCGAGCAGAACCCGGACTCACTAACATCCCACTGGGTCGCAGACCCGGCCGGACCGCCTGGAGCCGCCGAGACAGAGGCTCTGGGAGTGGGGAGGAATCCGGAGGACGGCCGCTGCGCTGCGGCTCCGCTGCTAGCTGCTTCCGGGTCAAACCCTCCACAATAAGAGCCTCACACACAAAGGTTCTGACGCCGAAATTAAAACATAAAAACTTAAAACATGAAAACTGGAACGTGATCAAAATGCCTTATTAATTTCAGTAATTCAGTTCTTTTGGACCCATTGGTTTGGTTCTGGTTCCGTCTGACTGGACTTTATTATGGATTTAGTTCCCGTTAGTTCCCACTGTTTCTCATCTTCATGGGGTCAAAGTGACAAAACACAAAACATTCATAACACCATTGAGACAATGACATAAAATATGCACAAGATAATCAAACATCAGATTTGATCAATTCCACAGATGATATTAGGAAACAACATTTAACTTCAGTGCAGTTTTAAAACAAAGTGTTTAAATGTTTGGAGGTAAATTATTCCATCCTTAAATTGCTTTGTAGAAACAGATTTGGATTTAAATCCGTCCTGAGGATCAGATCCTATATCTGATCAAAACCTTTCTATTAGTGATTGATGTTTCTGTTCCTATC